GTGTGGACTTGTGATTGTCCTGCCCCAGCCTCCCAGAGTGCTAGGATTACAGGTGGATCTTCTCATTAATATTACTGCTGTTGAAGTTTCTTGTGGACTAATCTAGTGTAAATTTTTAGACAGATGTATTTTTCATTACTCGCAGGCAAAAAGACATGTTTTTAGGATGCTCTATCCTTCTCTGTGAAATAAAGCAACAGAAGTCCCTTACATATTTGTCAAATCAATAATATATAGTGTTAGTACTTTTCCTTATAAAAACAGATCAGCTTTTGTGGGTCACCTTCTACTCAAAAATATATATTAAATGAAAAGTTACAGAAATAAATAATTATCCAGGCTTGGTGGCCCACATCTGGAATCCCAGGACTCAGCAGACTGGGGCAAGAGGATCATCATATGTTTCAGGCCAGGCTAGACTACATAGTGAGTTCAAGGCTAGCCTGAGCCACATAGCAAGACCCTATCTCAAAAGTCCATACACATTAAAGAAAAAACACTAATAAATTTTAAACAACTTTTATTGCATTATGTTGTGATTATTCTATTGCATTGTAGTTGTAATCTCTTATTATGCCTAATTTGTAAGATAAGATTTATCACAGGTAAGTTTATACAGGAAAAACTTAAAATGTATAGGGTATATATAGGTAGTTTTAGCATCCATTTGGAGTCTTGGAATGTATTCCCCATCCATATATGAAGGACTGCTGTAATAAAGAAGAAAGACATGAAAAGTTTTGTGCCAAGCGTATGTGGAATACTGAATTGGTGAAATGGATATGATGACTCTGAATACAGGTCACACTAAGATGCTCAGGCCAGGAACTTGCACCCAGTAAAGTAGTAGAGAAGGTTTTAACTTGTGAGTAATAGAGCCCTGAAGATATTAGAGACTTGCAAGAATGGAAGAACTCACATCAGTCATGATGCCTGTGATAAATATTAACAGCTTGGAATGCTAAACCAAGCCACCAGAGTACACAGTCAAAGGCAGGAAATAGTAGACTTCAAAAAATGCAGAGTGAGTTTAGAACAGTCAAACTAAAGCATGTGATTTCAGAAGGCTGAAGAACAGACCAGAGCAGTGGCCATCAAAGATGGTCAATTAGGATTAATCTCAGTGGCTTACCGTGTAGTCCATCCTGAATTTTCTTTTCTTTCTTTCTTTCTTTCTTTTTTTTTTCCTTCTTGAGTTTTCTTAAAACTCTTTACAAGCTTGTTAATTCTTTGGAAGCAGATGGGAAGGGGAGACTATTTTGGTAAGAAATTGCATGAAAGAAATACAAATGAATAAAGAATTCTGGAATTACTTAGGAAAGCAAAGCACTAGAAGAGGAGACTCTCTGGGTTTTAGGCAAGGTGAGACGTTCAAAAACTGAGAATAAGAAAGAGAGAAATTGGAATCCAAGCATCAGATAACCCAGGAGTATAATAAAAACAGAATACATGTTAAGTATTCTTAACATATCCCTAGAAGTAGGATCGCCACAGAGGATATAATCTGAAAAGCTTCAAATGTGTGATCTAACAGGAATGTAACATAACTTTTAATTAAACAACCCCAAAAGCTTAATTATGTGACTGATATTGTCTAAGGTGCAACAAAACGTTATAGAAGAATGATAACCTGCAAACACTGTGCATGTATTTCTCAAATGTTTTTTAAGACACATTAAGACTTTATTTGTTCCTTCACATCATGGTTCATGTTAGTGACACACTTCTATATATTTATAATAACCAACAGCAAAGCTTTTTTCAAATGCAGGAGGTTACAAAATGTTTACAATTTGAATCAAAGCCCTTAGAATTTGACCCATTAATCTGAGAGTGACATTTACAGTACCACAGAGAGGCAGAGATTGGACTAAAACCAACCTCTGTCAAATATTGGCCTAAGGTCCTTCTCCTGGGTATCCTATAGTATTTTAAAAATAAATGAGCCACCCAGACCACGTCAGGCATACGAGGGGACTTGTAAAGCAGTTGGGATGATACTAAGGGGGATTTCAATGAGTTTTCCCTTCCCTGGATGGAACTGAAAATTCTTATGTGATCTGTTTTATGATGTTTAGAAAGAATATTTCTTTACAGGGCCAATAGCAAAGGTACATTTCCTGTTGGTCCAAGAGGGCCTGATGGGTGGGAATGACACCATTAACTGGTGGTTTATTGCTTTGGGGAAATATTTGGACATCCTGTTTGCTTGATCAGCAGTTAAACCCCAGGTTGGTGTTTTGACCTTGGTTCACCCAGAAGATTATTTCTATAAACTTGAAAATTGAAACCAAGTAAGATCACATACACAAAAGGAGTCCAGAGGAAGAAAGTCAAATCTTTTGTTTATCTCTAGGGTGTGAATGCTAGCCAAAGACTATACCACTGTTCCCTCTCTGGAAACAAGGTAATTTGCATTTCTCTTGGGTTTTAGCTTCCGATTAACTATGTAAATAACTTTATTCCACAAAGCCTCCTTTTCCCCCTTTGATTTTGACCTTTGTTGCCCCCTTACTAGTGTATTAAATAGGCTGTACATTAAATATCTGAAGTTTGGAATATACATAGAGGTCTAGTGCAAAATGTCATATTAAAATATAGGCAGCCTAAAATGACCAATTGGAAGTTATGAGTTTCTTCCTAGTTGATATATAGCATTATGAAAAATTTGGAGTCTAACTCCCTGTAGTTCACAGCACATAAATATGAATGATAAGTGCTATTAGCAATACAGTACACTTCATCAGACCTGTGTGCTGTTATTTGGATGATCTCCAGAACTTCACCTGAAAATCTGGAAATTTAATAGGAACACTGCTCTTGGTAGACAGCTTTATAAGTGACAGAGAACTTGAATATGGTATCTCTCGTGCTAGTTTGTTGTGCTTTGCTTCCTCAAACACCCAGAGCTCAGTACAAGTACTGTCCTCTGTATCAGAAAATATGGCTGAGAAATTGAAAGAAAGAATTCAAAACAGGTTTGATCTTGAGTCTGAGGGTCTTGCCACATGTTTGGTGCTTATCCTCGTTACATACAGTGTAGGAGTTAATGCTAGTGGTCATTCAGAGTCATTCCCTGTAGTTTTTTTTTTTTTTTTTTTTTTTACCTGGGTCACAAGAAAGACACATCTATGCATCTGTTGCATCACACTCTATGTAAGGAGATTTGTGGACCTGGTCCCCACTAGGAAGTTGCTATGCGAAGCAAAGTGCATTGTAACTTTCAGGAACAGTCATGAAAGGTTTTTCTAAAAGGAGACTATTTTAAAATTTTTATGCAATTGCTCAATTCCAAACAATGAATAATGATTAAAGCTTTATAAAGGCATTACAATGTAACAATGATTGATAGCTGACAAAAATCTCTTTAGGTGTAAAAAAAAAATTATGAAGATAATGATGCAAGCAAGGGGAAAAAATGAACATCTCAGAACAGGCCCAGCAAAAAAGAAAATCACAAAGCAGCAAAAAGAGTGCATTGAGCTTTAGGATCCCTGGGTTGCTTTTGCTTCAGTAAAGCTTGGCTAAAATAACACAAACCCTATAGCTTACTAATTTTTCTAGCCAATATTTAGGTATAATTTGGGTGTTTTATAGGCCTGGAAAACCCACAAGGGACCCCAGATTGCTGACGTAACTGTCTTTGAATTTAACAAAGCCCATTACCATGTCATGGGGAGGATGGGCAGAACGCTCAAGGGGTGGGTTTTCGAGGTACCCAGAGGGGTTTTTCACTGCAGCTACTGAAATAATAAACTCTCTTGATTTTTGGCACTGACCAGAGTAATTTTAACAGTTCACTTCTAATCACAGATAATTCTTTTTTTATTATGTCATTTTAGATGCTGTTATTGCACACAGCAAATGTTGCTATGTTACTGAGAACCATAAACAGTCTTCACAGAGTGAAACTGTCTGTGGGCTTGGGTTTAGAGGTAGCTGTGCCTGTGTGTGAGTGCGTGTGTGCGTGTGTGTTTCAATCTACACACTATTCATTTTCAGAATAGACTTTATGATGTCTGGAATTTGAGCTGAACTTTCTTTCCTCTCCTGTTTCAATTAAAAGTAATTAACAGCTTGCTCATTATCTTTCCAGTAAATTTTAGTATAAATTCTAAAGAAGGGAGACCTTAAGCAACAGAATTTCATAGATTTCCTGGTAAAAGAGATTAAGACCCTGTAGTCTGGATGGGAAGTGAAAACATGTTGTTTAGTCTTAGACATAGCAACCACTTTTGATTAAATAAAAATGTGAGACAAACTACGCTTAGTGATTTCTCAGGAATTTTTATCCGAAGATAATGTGCTTAATACAAAGTCTAGGAACAAAAACAAACCATTAGCTAACATTACCCTTTTTCATTCAATTTTGTATTATTTTGCTTTTAGTAATTTGAGATGCTGTTTAAATTTTAATCTTTATTTTGAAATAGTTTAAAATCCTAATGAAGTTTCACAAAGAACCTCAGATACCTTTCGCCATGTATACCAATCATCAATGTTTTACCACATATTCTTGTCCAGAACATAATCCTTCATCTAATTTCTTTTTCAACTAGTTAGGTTGTAGAAATGTTGCCACTGTACTTCTAAATATTTAAGTGTGTCTTTTTTGTGAATAAAGACCTTCACTTTGATAATTATAAAAAATGGTTGAACTTGGGATTTTTGTTTCTATCATTGATACTGTTATTTACAAAATTGTTCACAGTTTATCAGTCTTCCTGCTATTGTAGTTTCTGCTAGGTCAGCATCCACTCCAGAATTACACATTGTGTTTAGTTTTTATTAGGTTGAAATAGCCTTAGAAATGCATTTTTTATCAGTGTTATTATATCATTGATGCTCAAATATTCACCAAGTGAGATTTGGGGCCTTGTTATATACATCTCTTTTTTCTTCTTGGTTCTACAATAAAACAACATAACAGCAAATAAAACAAACAACAAAAGGCCTGGGAAAGCTGTGTGCTAATTTCTTTTTAAAATTTCCTTTAAAAGGCGATGCTTCGTTACAGAGTATTTCAAATGAAGGATATCTCAAATGAAAGAGTTTCCTCCCTCTGCTTGCAAGGCTCCTAGAAGATACACTTGGAATGATGATGTATATGAATACTGTGGAAAGATTTGCATAGGAAGACACAGAGCACAGCATCCTGCGAGCATAACTTTAGAACACCTCACATGGTTGAGAGAGCCACAGACTGTGGGAAGAACTCAGCCTTAACCTGAAGACTTGAAGACAAGAAGGAAATGGCAAGGTACTGAACAAAGGAAAGTGGGAAGTCAGCAGCCAAATCAATCATCTGGATAAGCACGAAACCAAAACAAAGATGTGAGCATGTACCAAGATGTCGAGAGAGCCACTTGTGTAATTTTTTTTAAAAAAGCTAAAAAAAGAGTAAGGCATATTCTGATTTTGATTTTGTAAATGCCTATTTTATAAATACATGCAAGTATCTTTTTGCAGTGGAATTATGGATCATAAGTTAATTATGTGCTCTAGTTTACTTTCACTATTAAAATTATTTCATATAGAGGGCAACCCACTCGGGACTCTTTCTGTCTGTCTCCCAGACAGAAGCTTGCTTTCTCTCAATAAATATATTCTGCTCTTAAATAAATTATTTCGTGGATAGATAGATGGATATAAGCATAGAAATATCTTAAAATAAGAACTAACATCACCGTTAGCAACTGAGTAATAAAAGCTGACTCTCACAGCCCTGTGACAGGCAAGGCTCAGGAGAGTATGTTACTTCAGGTGGGCTCCTGGAGGGACCCCAGAGGGACTGATGTCTGCATACTTTCCCGTGGGTTTGAAGACTCGCATTGAATGGGGTAGAAGTAACTTCTCTAATATGATGGCTACAGCCTAGTAATATGCAAATTATTCCTCTTTTAGCTCCTAATACTTACGATGCCTGTATTCTACTTTTCGTATTTCTTATGGATTGTATCCAGACGTACCTTAAAAGCTGCATGCATTGAGAAGTGGGGGTTTTCCAAGGTGGGTAGATCTCCAGGATGTGTGAAGATGGATTCTGTGGGGGTGAGAACTGAATTAGTCTACTGATTGGTTTAACATAGTTGTGGGTGTGGACAATGGGAAGACCCACCCTGGGTGCTAGTGGCACCGACCAGTTGGCTGGTAGGGACTGGAATAAAAAGGGAAAGAGAAGTTTGTTGCTGCTGGTGCTGTTTTGTTGCTTTCTGTCTGCCCTGCCGGGAACTGTTTCTCCTCTATGATGCCCCTCTGTTTTGCTCTCTTGCTTTAGAAACAGCTGACTATGAATGGAAACCTTTATAAATTCTAAGCTAAAATAAATTTTTCTTCTGTAACTTTGGGTTTTGAGTTTTTTGTCTCAGTAATGAGAAAAATAACTAAGACCATATAGGCAGATGCTACAGCGTGTTGGTCTCTTGGTATTTCTTTTTCTACATTTGAGTTTCAAATATTCAGTGATAAAACCTTAGTTGTGTCTATTTTACAAATGATATACTGAGGTAATGAGTATAACCACAGTACTCCAGTAATGACCACATGTCAAGTATAAAAGTGAGTGTTGATGCATAAGTAAAACTCAGAATTATCTGAGAAGGAATACGCAAGATTGAGTGCAAAGTATGTATATTGTTTATTTTTTTCTCTACTGCACAGCAAGATCCTTGATGCTTTGAAGGACAAAAAAAGTTATGGTCAGAAGAAGCAAACTGAAGTGAATGAAGACTTCTGAATTGTTTCTCAAAACTTCTTAAAATTTTATGTTCTATTGATCTTTAGCTGGCTTCCTAAATGGTCTCATAAGTCTGCTTCTTTACCAAAAAGGGGAATTTTAGTTGCATGATTCCCAGAAAGAACCAGCCAAGACTGCCACAGATGTGGGATAGGAGTAGGTGGGTAGATGTTCCATCTTTAGAGAATCTCACAGGACATTCCAGCTGTAACCTGGAAACTGTAGATGCTTCATTTACGATCAAACATTTCCAGTGGCTTAAAAGGTCCCTTTCTTTCTTACAGCTATTAGATCCTGAATGTCTACTACAGTCCAGACACAATTCTTTGAACAATTCTGAGGAGTCGTATTATACTACCTTTGCCTTCATAAGAGAATAATGTTCAAATTTAAGTGGGTTGCTCAAGATTAGATAGCTAGTAGAAAAATACACACCTTAAAGCTACATCAAATTTGCCCCATTCCATGTTCTTTTCCTTAGTTTGCTGTTTTATTTGCCATTGATTGCTTTTTGGGTTTGCCTGCATAGAATGGATGTGCTCTTTCCTGTTAATTGCACAGTGCCTATGAGTCTATCTGAAAGTCTGGGAAGGCACTCTTTGACATCTCTGACTTTCTTTAAAATCCTTTCCTCCTTTTTCTTTTTTTGGTACACATCCTGAAATGTTTCAGCTCTCAAACACACCCATTCCTAGCACCAACCTGATTTTCTTTTATATCCAGCGTATTACAGTGGAGTTATTCATCTTGCAGCTTCATCAACATTAACTGGTTCATTTTCAGGATGCTTCTGAGTAACCATCTCTTTCTTCAGAGGCTCAGGAATAAGCCTTTTTGAGAAGTGCATGAGTTTCTTCTGAATGTTTACAAAAGCATTATTCCTTCTGTGAACCTCTTCATCATTCACAATATGTATCTTCTTAAGATTAAAGGTAACTGGTTTTACTTGGCTTTAGACTTAGAATCTTCTGGTTGGTTGTGTGAAATACATTCTTGGACTTCTGCCTATTAATTTATTCTTGACCATTGTCTTTGATACCTGAATGCAGCTGCCCAAGCTCCAGGTGACACCATCTCCCAACTTGTTTTTCTTAAGCAGATGAAATAGAGATTTAGGCTTATCAATTTCCCTTATTTTTCCTTCTAGTCAATATATCTGTTTGTACTATTTCAATCCTATATTGAAAAATTAGTTCATATTAATGTTAGAATAAGATAATATTTGATTGTCCTCATTTATGTACACATAATGTACTAAATTTGCATATAACTGAAGGTTTCCATAGACATAAAAGTCCTAGCTCCACTGATGATTTTAATGGTGGAAATGTGAGCTCTAGTAGCAGATTATGGGCCTATTGTGGAGTAGATGTACATTTCTGTGCTCTGAATTTGTATGTGAGGTTGCATATGCTTTAATCAAAGCACCTTGGATCAGAACTCTTAGATTTATTTTTTTATTTTGGAATGCTTGTACACTCATAATAGGATAGTTGGAGATGGGTCCTAAGTCTAAACATGAAATCCATGTAGCCTGAAAATAATTTTATACCATATTTTTTGATAATTTTACACATAGAAGAGTTTCTTGGGATGAAATTTTTGCCTGTGGGGTCATGTCAAGTATTTAGGTTAGGGAGACTTGACCTACATGCACATAGTTTGTGGGGATGTCCCTTCTGTGAGCATCATTGCCCATATCAAAGTTTCTGTTAGTGATGCACACAATCTGTAGAAACAGTATTATTTTCCCAGTTAAGTTACTTCTTCGTTGGCAGATAACTGATTAGCCACAGACAGCTAGAGTCACTGTATCTTAGGGCCTTCTTTTGTAGAATGAAAATTTAGATTTGGATAAGAGCATATTAATGATCTCCTCCTAGTATCTGTGTGAAGAGAGCATTTTCAGGAAGTAGGTACAATCTGTACATTTCTAATGAATTGTAAATTAGCTCATCAAAATATTTTATAGGAAGCTACTTGATATTTTGGAACCTTATGAGTACTTCCCCCAAAAGTACTTTCTTGGTCTTTCTGCATCAGGAAGTAACATTCTGCCAAGTTTAGAAGAAACCCAAGCTCCAAAAGGGGCTGAGACTGAAGTCCCAAAACTCAGATGGATATGAACTTGGCTGAGTGTGTCTTACCCTCTGCGCTCTGCTTATGTTGCCAGCTGGTAGAGCTAGTTCAGCTTACTGTTTAAAGTTTCCTTTTGGACTAATGAATATTTCTAAAATATTGTATTGCTTCAGAGCTCATGCTATGGCAATGTAAATCAATTCCCACTTCTATTATATAAGTTTGTGATTTTTACCCCTACAAAAATTCCATTGAGATATTGCAGGCCTTATATTGGCTAGTAATAAACTTTGATGGTGGTCTGGTAGAAATAACTCTGGGTGGGATTTTGGGGGGCAAAATTGTTATCATTTGGCTGTGGAATTCATAGAAGAGATGGACGCCCTGTGCAGGTTCCCCTAAGGAAGAGTCGATTTGCTCCATTTATTGCATGGAGCCATAGTGTACTCACTGTTCTTAGGCTTTCTCTCAGAAGTTACCGTTTTGAAGTAGTATTTTTTGGAAATGGAACTTTAAGGAAATGAAAAAGACCAGAAACTTACCCATAAAAGAGGCCTCAAAAGTTCAGAAGTGAGTAGGACAAAGCTGAAAAACGAAGAAACCTCCGTCTTCACAGAGCATGATAATTAAGAACTTACTGCCCCTGCTTGCATATTGTGTGTCCTAATAAGCAATAAAGAATGTGCCTGTCTGCAATAATCATTTTAAACATTAATACAGCTTTGAGAAAAGGAGACTTGCCTTTAAATGTTACATTTTATTTGTAAGTGCATACTTTAATAACAGCTATAAAACATTGATTAGTTAAAATTTGCTGCTGCTTTGTGAGTTGGGAGTGAAACAGGTTTGTACTATGGAGCAGTGTCTGACATGTGATGTTTATAAAGCACAGAAGTACACTAGGAGACAGTCACCTGACGTGTTCATGTGAGCACACACTGCGAAAATTGAATGTGGCTTCTCTCTGCAGTCATTTACACTCGAGCTACACTTCTGATAGCTTTATAATTTTTGGAGGGAGTATGGGAATTTTTTATAGAAAAAGTCTGGCATATGCAAAGTGTTGATGGAATCTGCATCTTATTTGAAGAATGTAATGTCTAGCGAGTTTGTACCCCTAACTTACGTGTTAGAGCTCTAACCCCTGTGTTCCTGTATTTGGCAATAGGGCTTTTAAGAAGTAATTCATGTTTAATGGGGGTCACAAAAGTGAAGTCCTAAACCTATAGGATAGATGACCTTAGGAAAGAGGAAGAATTGCTTTATGTGTGTGTGTGTGTGTGTGTGTGTGTGTGTGTGCGCACGCGCATGCACGTGCCTAAAAACAATGTGAGGTGGTGATCATTTGCAATCCAAGGAGAAAAGATCTTCACCAGACACCAGTCAGCTTAAGCTTGCAACTTGATATAAAACTTTCAGTTTCCAGACCTGTGAGAAAGTAAATATGCGTAATATAAGTCACCTGCCTTTGTTATGGCAACTTCAGCTGACTAAGTCCATAGAGCTCCTGGGGGATGAGGAGAAGTTAATTAGAGGGAGGGCACAGCTGTCTAACTTGTAGTATGATGTCACAACAGAGCATGGGCCACAAGAGAACAGGACTGGCTAGGAGGGAATGGGACATGGGATAAATTAAACCAGAAATTGATTGATACCGCAGAAACCCAGTAGAGGGAGGTGAGCTGAGCAAAGGCTATGTGGATTTAATTTTAGAAATACAAAAATAATCTAAGTGGGAAGGTAATTGGATAGCCAAGTGTAGCATCAAAGAATAGACCTGATGACTTAAAGTCACGAGCCTTTTTAAATTTGTTTTTTAAATCTCTGCCTCGTGTTATTCTTCATGTGGTTTTGGGTAACCATAGACCGTAGAAGCTCAATGAATTCAGGATAGTGTGTTACAGACTTTGCTTCTGGAAGTTTCAGCCACAGAAGTGTTGGTATGGGAAACAAATACCAGAAGAATAGGAATCACTGAATGCATGATTAAATGGCGGTACCTTCCATTCCAATCATTATGATTCCTATAGAAGAAATTGTATTGATATTTTAGCTGATTAAATACAATCAAGGAAGCATACCAGTGTGCCACATGTAATCAGAATTAATTAAAGAAATGCACAGGCACCTGTGAACGCACAAATGAGATAAAAATACACTCCTTAGTAAAAAGAAGTTATCTCTGGATATTGGGAGCCTTGTAATTTTCTGCTACATATTTTTTAGGGTAGAATGACAGTGTTTTATTCTGAAATTAGAAAAAACAAAACTGGTACTGCTAGTAAAGAAAGGAAAGATCATGGGGTCAAGGGTGAGTTGATGGAAGGATAATCACAACAGGTTTACTGTTCTTTGTACAATTTTGAGCTTCCTTGTTTATATAATGCTTCATTGAATGGTAGTGCTAAACAGCAAGTGTTTTACACGTGCACACACACACATATTCACATACAAAAAATCAATGGTGCAACCATTTTGTATCACTGGCTAATGACTCCCCAGGTTCAATATCCAACTGCTATTTTC